CTGTTCCTTTTCTATATCACAATTATCTGGCTCTTTTGAACTTCTGAACCTTTTTCCTAGTATCTTCTGATGATTGTCCTAGAAACAGATTGGCTACCTGTTACTTCCTTCCTTCTGAGGAGGGATCTAACGTAGTAAACTTTCAAATCAGTTCCCTCAACCTGTCCAAAAACTCAGTTGGTGTTTCGGTTTGCCCTTGTTTTAAAACAAACAAGGATGACCAATTTACTGGTTTTGGAATTGCCTTTTCCAGTACAAATTTTATCCAGTTTTGATATGCTGCTATTCAAAGCGGCATAATCCTTGGGCAGATTGTAATCCCAGTCTGGTGTTGCAGTAGGGATATGATCTTCCACAATACCTGCTAATGCTCCTGCAGTAATATGACCATGTACATGAGCTCGGGTTGTTTTTAATACCAACTGTTTTTCCGTTTCCATTAATGCATCCAGCATTACATCTTTGTCTCCTCAGTCAGGATCTTGGCTTTTAACAATCAACTTGAACCTTTTTGCGACTCCTATGGGATCATCCCAATACTCTTTCACAGCTAACTTCCAAGCGACCAAATCTCCCATTGAAAAGTTCACCTTTATTCTTGTCCCACCCTCCAGTCCCATTGCTTGTCTTGAAGGTGCCCGAGTTATTGGCCCTGTTTTGCTATGAATGTGTGCAGCAATTGGAGTAATGTTTTCCAGTCCTTCTGTTCTATCATCAGCAACTGCAATCCCTTCCTTCCTCCTCATCAGTATTGGAGAGATGCAGGGCAGGGGATGCAGCTCTCAGAGGTACCGGTGATGCATAATCCTCCACCCTATCTTCCTGATTACTCCTTTTTCTTAATTTTAAACATCTTTCTCCAATATCACAGGCTGAACATCTCTCCAATTTAGATCCCCGTTTTTCCCTGCCCTTTTCCAAACCTAAAATTAAGGGATCCAGCGGAGCCACATTAATCCCGCATTCCTTCTGCCACTCCAAGCGGTTTCTTAATGTGAAAAACATAACTGCATATACTACTTCATCCCATGCCTCTGGGTCCCAGTTGGGATCAGATATGAGGGCACAGACTCGTGGCCCCGCTGCCTTTGTGCCTTTTTCACTGCTCAGTTTGTTTTTGTTTCTTTTTCCCCTACATCTCTCACCCTGCTCTGCAGTGGCTACAGATGCGTGCCCTGCAACAGCACTTCTACTTTAACCCTTTCTAGCTCAGAATGCAAATCTGTTGTTACCTGTTGCTCTAACTCTGTTATCTACCATGCCTTTGTAGGCAAATAGCAAACAGCATGGCTCAGTCACTCCTTCGAGTGGGTATGGGGGTTTGTACAAACTCACCCCAGTACTTTAACACTTCCATGGGGTCTTTAGCTCCCCACAATTCAGGTCCTATATTAGTGCAAGTTTCTATTTTGTCTCACAACATGCTCCACAGGAGGAGCCAGAGCCCGAGGCACTTTCTTATGAAACATAGCAATCGTATATTACAGAAAAACTTCAACGTGAGCCCGACAACAAAAATGCACAGAACAGCATCTCTTGGTGCAGCTACATACCCCACTGACCAAGCCCTGCCCTCAACACATGCATACAAGGGATCCCACAAGCACACTCCACACAACTACAGTACTTAGAACACAGATAAAATCCAGCTAGACAAACAACTATTAATGATGCAATAACAACATACAGTATAGCATTAACCACGTCATATCATCAATACCACAATCGTTACTGTGATAATCTGCAAAACTGGGTCAAATACCATCAAGTCACAAACAGTGTTCCAAACAAATCGAAATGTATACCAATTGGACACCAGCAGTCGGGTATACGCCTTGCCTACAAGATTTCTAGATTTCGATTTACAGAAGGCTCCAAACTAAAGGTTAAACCATCAAAATCCAAGCTCCAAACAAACTCCATGCAGGACGTCTCCTATGACTTACAGAATGTTAACCAAAACAAAATCATTCTTACAAAAGAATACCTTCTTAAAGATGGTCTTTGTCTGCTCCCACAGGGATCCGAATGAGTCAAGGGGTCCCTCCGGGAAACATTCCCAAGGGCCCTAGGGAGCCCCATCCTCAGCGGGTCCTGCAGCTGGGCAGAGAGGGTCCCATTTAGGTCAGCAAACTGATTCAGAGAACTTGCAAAGAACTCACCAAAAAGTTTAAGATGGCAAGCAGGTATTCTTTATTACAGCCCTGGGAGACACGGGGGATAGCTCCTCCAAACGTGTCTCATCCCAGCATTAATCAGGCTGTGATTATATTGTTGCTTAATATACATATTTATTATATTTCCAGTAAATGACATTCATGTCTATACATTTCCCAGAAATATTTTACATGGGTTTACACCTATTTTTGTATGCGCACAACAACGTGGTAGTGGTCTCTGGGACTCCTGGTGGTAGTTTCTTCATCATCACTTCATTCTTTGGCTGAACTTCAGATTTGGAAAGCCCCGTTGTCAAGCACGCCACCACTAGTCCAATTCTAACTGGTCATTGTAAAACATTTACCCAAAATGTTTCCTTCTTGCTATTATTACTCGCCATCGAGGTCAATGTTGCTTAGCTACAAAGCAGAACTAAAATTACTTCTGTACAAAAGAGTATATTTCATTTTGTACTTCCATGGCTCAACAGTTCACTTCAAAGGCTGTAGTATTTGCTTTGTCCTTTGGCCTTTACCAGATGAGAGAAAAGGCTGTCTGCGCCCTAGATGTGTTGTTTTTTGTCGTGGTTTAAGCCCAGACAGTAACTCAGAACCACACAGCTGCTCACTCCCCACTACTTACTCTGGCTCCTGGAGGAATGGGGAGGAGAATGGAAAGAATGTAACTCCCATGGGTTGAGATTAGAACAGCCCAGTAGCTAAGGTATAACACAAAACCACTGCTGCTACCACCAGTAATGATAAGGGAAATAACAAGGGGAGAGAATACAACCGCTCACCACCTGCTGACTGAAACCCAGCCCAACCCAAGCAGCAATCTGGGCCTCCCAGGTAACTCCCCCCAGTTTCTATACTGGCATCACATGCTGTAGTGTGGAATACCCCTTTGGTTAGTTTGGATCAGGTGTCCTGTCTCTGCTTCCTCCCAGCTTCTCCTCCTCCCTGGCAGAGCATGAAGCTGAAGAGTCCTTGATCAGGGTAAACATTACTTAGCAACAACTAAAAACATTGGTGTTATCAGCATTGTTCTCAGTCTAAAGTCAAAAACACAGCACTGCACCAGCTACTAAGAAGGACAAAAAGGGCTGCTGCAGCTGAACCCAGGACAGTTGTCTCTAGCAGTATCTTTCCCCAGGATAAAGAGATTGGTAGAGCAAGCAGTGTTTACCTCTATTGTTCCTCTCCCTGTTTGTTTTGAACATGCTATCTTTCCTCCCTTAAATCACATTATTTCATAAAGAGTAAAAAGAAGCATAATTTGGAGCAGCAGCAAGCTGAGCCCAAGTTAATAGTTTAAATTGCACTCCATCTGTTCAGCTGCATGGCCTGATGGATGTGCTGAACCCATTTTTCACAATTTGTTTTAAGCTGGTAAGAACCATCTTTCCTGGCTCTGGTCCAGGCTGGCTGTGGAGAAAAACTTCCGATCTGGACTTTCATGTCCAGAGCAGGGGATTGAGTCAGTAATCCCCGATGCCAGGCTACCTCTTCTACCTGCAAGTTGCTAGTTTTTGAAAGGTTCTCTGGACTTGAACATTGCTGTCAAAAACTGAAGAGGGGGAAAGCTTCACCCCTCCATGTACGCACACACGGAGGATGAAATTTGCAAACATGATTACGCAGGACACACTTTAAATCGACTTATTGCTGTTTTATGATGGCAAACAGGCAGTCACAGAAGCCAGGGTGATTGGCCTTGCCATGTGCGCATGCTGCTGGTAACTCAATAACTGGTGAACACCCACTGTGGTCTCCAGACCTCAAGCCTTTGATGTAGCAACAAACAAGATAGATTGCTGTAATTTATCTGGCCCCTGGAGGGCTGTGCTGGTAATGTGCCATGAGCGCAAGGGCCAGCCATCCATAATCTGTGTAAAAATACAGCAGATCACAGTCGCCGTGCTGCAGGGCTGTCTTTGTTCTGTGCTGCACAAGTTTGCATGTGTACAATGCCTGGTACCGGGTCTCAATTTCCAGCAGCCAGGGGCAGTAAGTGGTAGTGTAATATGCCCACTCCTTCCATTAACCTTAATTGTTTTTGTTATATAGTAAATATACTCCTTTTGAATAGACTTGAAGCAGCAGTGATGGAAGTGTGATATTTCCCCGTATGCGTTTACAAATGTAACTGAAAGATTGGGGAAGACATGCTGGGTTTCAGCGAAAAAGATTTTGGACCAGCCAAAGCCTCCAGCGGGTTTGCTGATGGAGGGTGGATGCCTGTGATATTGCAGTTGTATAGCCTGGAAACCCAAGGGGAGGGTGTGTGGCCTCCTGGCTTGCACATGAGCCTCTCTCCTGGTAGAAGACAGTCCTGGCTCAGCTGTGCCAGGAGAAGAAGAAGTTGCTGCTGGACTGGGGGGCCCCAGCAGCAGCTCCCCAGATACCTGTGTGTACTGGGGTGCCGCAGAGTGTCCATGTGCCACCACCAGTGCCCTCCTGCAGCAACCCCATCCTCAGGGTTGTAGGGCTGGAAAATCAAAGTAGTACTGAAAACAAAGCCTTGTCAGCTTGAGTTTGTTGCTATGTGGTGGGATACCTTTTGTTCCTGGATTCTTACTGCTACCAAAGAAGGATTTTATGTCATCTCGATGCTGCTTCTCTTACAGGGTATCTTAAAAGACATTCCCCTCGAGTCAGCAAGGAAATTGCTACATGGCTGGGAGGGTGCTGTGCCAGAGCCCAATGTGCCAGTTTTAAAATGGGGTATGAGGGCTTGTCTTGCTGAGCACAGCTGCCAAAGGGTAGGACAGGTACATCTGGGAGAAGACACAGGGGCTGCCTGTTGGGAAGTAATGCTGAGCTCCTCTCTTCCCACAGGCATGGCCTTGGCCCAGCGGCAAGTGGCGGTGCAGGAAGGGCCCCTTTACCGCACGGAGGGTTCCCACATCACGCTGTGGTGCAAGGTGAGCGGCTACCAGGGTCCGTCGGAGCAGAACTTCCAGTGGTCCATCTACCTGCCCTCGGCCCCTGAGCGGGAGGTGCAGATCGTCAGCACCGTCGACCCATCCTTCCCCTACGCCATCTACACCCAACGCGTGCGCAGCCGTGGGATCTACGTGGAGCGGGTGCAGGGGGACGCCGTCCTGCTGCACATCACTGACCTGCAGGACCGGGATGCTGGCGAGTACGAGTGCCACACGCCCAACACTGACGAGAGGTACTTTGGGAGTTACAGCGCCAAGATGAACCTCGTGGGTAAGCTGTCCTGATAACAGCATGGCTGGGGCAATGGGGTGTCTCCCAGCCAGCATGCAGCAAAAACCTGTGAACCCCTCCATGTGCAATGTAGTCCACATAAGCTGTCAGAAAAAACACCAGTGAGGAAGACAAGGAGAAGAGGGCAGGCAGCATGGGTAGTGTGAATTGCAGGAAATCACCATATAGAGGCACAGGAGATACCAAGCTTTCTCTAGTAATAAGGCCCTTGTAAAGAAGAGACACCAGGTAGCATAGCTGGGGAGAGGAACATTTGAAGCTCTGGCTGAAAGCAAGAGGGATGTGGAACTGATGTACTGTAGAGGAGAAAGGTAGGGAGGCTTCTCCAGATGGCATAAGCTGCAGAGGAGAGAGCTGTGTGACAAAAGTGACGAAATAGTGGAGTGGGGAAGAGAGAAGATGTAATGAGCGGCATATAAGGGGAACAGGGCAGATCATAGAATCAGCTAGGTTGGAAGATACCTTAAGGTCATGAAGTCCAGCTGTTACCCCAGGAGTGCCAAGTGTACCACTAAACCATGTCATCGGGGGCCTCATCTACATGGATTTTGAACACTTCATCTTCAGGCTCTTAACAGAGGGTAATGCTGAATGCATCCTGAAAACACCACACCACTCAAATTGAATTGTCTGTAGATGAATGTGGGGGAGTTGATTTGGGGTTTGGTTGGTTTTGTCTGTGTTAGAAAAATTGAAAACAGGTTCTTTAAAATGTGGAGTATTTCCATAGCACCTCTCATACTAGCTGACTTGACTGTTTCAAGCTTCAGCTTGCTTTCTGTATCTCAAAATGGGATTGGATTTGAAGTCTCTAACTCAGCTAACAGAAGTCTAATAACTTCAATCAGACTCTTTGCTGAAGGACTCCTAAAAGAACTCCTCTGCAGCAGAGGCACCCCTCTAGCAAATTTAAGCCCACAGACAGCAGGCTTGCTTTCCTGTGAGCCTGCAGGTCTCTGGTTTGGAAACCATTTTGATATTACCCAGACTAGCTAGTCAGCGTGTTGGCTGTTCAGGCCATGTTGACACAGGAAACCCATTGTGAAAGGAGTAAAGGTGTGAGTTTAAATAACAGTAGCCCTCCTTTGTTTTGTGCTTCTTGCCCTCAGCTTGTGTGCACCTTGCCTTCTTCCCTTCAGAGGTACCAGCCCAGCCACTCTCCCAGGTGAAGCCCCATGCTTGAGTGCAGGTTCTTACTTAGGTGCCATCTGATGTCCATGAGAAGTCTGGGAGGGAGACACTTGAATACTCTTTTCTATGTGGTTTGTTTTGTTTGTTTGTTTTGTAGTTCTTTGATGTGCTTCAGGTGCCCAGGCTTGTGGTTGCCCCTTTCATTTGAACAGGACTGAGTCAGCACTGCTGCTCTAAAGTCACCTTAGGGAGTGAAGCCCGTTGAAAATCAACACCCAGTGGGAAAGTGCCTGGGGGCAGGGTGGTTTGGGTCTGGGTTGCTCTGCCAGGGAGCTGCACCCTGTGGGCTCTTGCAGGAAAGCTGTTAAAACAAGTGAGAGTACCTCTGTTAGCTGCTGGTGGTGCACAGCATGGGACAGGGCTTCCTGGTAAGTACAGCCAGTGTGAGTGATGGCTGTAGGGTACAGGGGAGCTGCTCTACCAAGAATTGGGGAGCCAGGACCCTCCTGGCTGATTTGATGGCCAGCCCAGGGCTTGCTGGCTTGGTATGCTTTTTCTCTGTCTCTTGCCACAAGTACAAGGCATGTAAGATTTGGGATTCCGTAGACACCATGAATGGTTTTTTGAGGATATTGGCTTCAGGCCTTAATGTGCGTCGGGGATGTTAAAGAAAACAGATCTAAAGTAACTTTTAGTGGATTAGTTAAATCACATTATGCCCCTTCATGGATGCTTGCACTTAGAATTCGGGGCCCTGATTTGCTTTAGCTTAATTCATTTCTGGAAATTCACTTCAGAAATGACTTAAGGTTACTTGTGTTTTGAATGTGTGTATCTGTGTAGGTGTTTTCTGTGGTTTAACCAAACTCTTCACAGAAACTGACTTTTCCAGAGTGCCCCTTGTGATGAGCTACAGGACAAGCCCATTCATGTGAGCCGGTGTTGACTTGAACACTGTGGGACCTTTTACGTCCTGCTGGGGAAGTGGGCTGTTCTGCAGGGCTGGGACAAACATGAAAACTTTTTATCCCCTGACATTTCAGCTCTCAGCTACAGGTCACGGGTTTTCAGGCTGGCTTTGTTGCTGTAGACAAGAAGAGGTACACAAGAGCTAGATGAGAGTTACTGTTCTCATTTTCTCAGAAACAGAACAAAACTTTTTTTTTTTCTTTCATCCAGTTACGAATTTTTAATTGACTCATTAGATTGGGTGACTCTTTTGGCAACAGCAGAACCTGCAGGGAGGCAGGTTTGTAAGCATCTCTAGTCTGTGTTTATGTGTGAAATGGATATGTTTGGAGCAGTGTTGATTCTAGACTTGCTGCTCTGAAAGCAAGATGAAGAGATGAAGGAAGAGTTTCTCCCTTCTTCACCCAGGCAATACAACTATGTGATGGGGTAGCTGGATGGGACACTGGTGCATCAGCACATGGGGCTGCTGTCTGCACTGGGACAGACTGACAGACAAAACAGCCAGTGTGCATCTCTGCTCCTGTTGTCTGAGCAGCATTGAGAGCTATATATCCAGGGTTCTGCAGCTGCTAAAACGTAGTCTTGTCATCTTCAAATATGTGCTGGTTGGGCTTGAAAGTACAGTTCTATCTGCCTCACAAACAGCAAGCATGGTTGGTGTCTCCAATTGAGGTTTCTTTTTATTCACTGAGGTCTTGGCCAGGATCTAATACCACTCCAAGGACCTGATGTCTCTGCACTAACAAGTGCTCCTCAGGCACTTCATGGGATTCTTATCTGGATTTAGGCATGCAGTACAAGCGATAAGCTCTCTAAAGATAGGAATGAGGCCAGTAATGTGGTTCAGTGGCCTTCTGCCATGGGAGGAAATGTGTATCAAGGCTTAAACTTTTTCACCAGTCTTCAATTTCCCTCAGTTGCTTCAAAAATAAGTCTATCTTGCTACCCTTCTTCTCATCTCCTCCTGAGCTGTATCATTGGGAAGGAGGAGTTATACTTGGGCTGCAAGATGTGTTAGGAGGAAGAATTTAGGACAACTCAGATGGAATAGCTTGTGCTGAGGGAGGTGGCAAAAGGGAAGAAAATAATGGGCGCAGCCTTTCAGGATGTTGTTGAACTGTGATTGATTATGAGAAAGGATTATCCCACATACGAAGTCTGCTGGCTGTGAGAAGTACATGGGCTACTCCTATAATTTATGAAGAAGCTAAGGACAGGAAGGACTTTTCAGGTGAAAGACGGCAGCATCCCAGTAACACAGCATCACCACTGGCAGGGCAGCCGTATTTTCCAGATTGTCATTGGAATTATTCCTTGTATTAATAACACTTGAAATATGAGCAAAGAGGAGATTTCTGTGTAATTTAGGTAGTGAAGCTGCAGGGATGCTGTGCAGTCCAAGATGCTGGTTTGTGTTTCTCATCTTACGTTAATGGATAAATAAACTCGTATTTTGCTGTGGGGTAGAAGAGAGCTCATAGCAGTTACTTCAGAGTTCATGAGTCACTGCAAATTTGTACTCCACTATATCTCTGCAACAAGTTTTTTGTGTGCCTGTACCCTTACAGCCTGTACCTGATAACAGCGAAGAGGCCCAAGTACAACCCCTTCAGAAGCTTCAGACTTTTTTGTCAGTGTTATTTTATCTGTGCTTCCACAAATGTTAAGCTCTTTTTCAGAGTATGTGTTTTTCTTGAACAAGGGTTTTCTTGAACAGGTAGTGGCAGAGCAGGAGGAAAGGTTTCAAAGCACTTGAAGAGGTGGCAGCTCTTGTACTTTTTATTTTGTGGGAAGCAGCTGTACAGCATTGATCCTAAACAAGTTAAAGAAAATGAAAGGTTTTTGGATGGGGCGAGCAGGGGGAGAGACCACAACCTCCATGGTACCGCAGAGTGAGAAGGAGCAATTTTGGTGCAGAGTTGAGAAACAAGCAGCACTTGGACTCTGCTGTTTTGGAGGAGGGTGGGAGCTGCTGTGGAGCTGATAGTGACTGCAGAGACAGTCACTGACATCTCCTTCCTGCCAGGCTTAGGTGAAAGGGGGGCAGAGAGGATCCTCACTAGCTAGGTACTATTCAGTGGCTCCTCTGTTCACCCTCTCAGCCTGGCCACACTTCTGCTCTCTGCTAGGTCTCACCCTGCCCAGGTAGACTGGTGCCTTGATCTCTGTCCTGTTCTCCTACATCCTCTCTGGCTGTGATGGCTCCCAGGGTCTGGGTGTGTGTTCTTTTGGCAGCCCCATTGTGGTGAAGTTTTGACACTGTGCCAGACTTGGGAGTTGTGGTGCGTGTGGACGCTGGTGGTATGAAGAGCCGGCTGCCTCTCTGCCTCATGTCAAGAGTTGGCTGCAGCTCTGCTTGAAGGGGTCCTGTCTCCAAATGCTGAGCTACCTGAGTCTGCAGACCAGAACTCAGTCCATAGGTAGTCTGACCATGTCTTTAAAATTTTGTCTTGTAGGAGTCCGCTGTGGCATGTGACTGTGTGGCCAGCTGCAATCCCATGACAAGAAGGATAGCTGTAGGGTGCATCTGAGAGGCTTTAGTAACACAAGAGGTGGAAGAAAGACTTAAGCGTGATGCTGGAAGGGAGGGAGTTGCATAGGTCTCAGACAAGCATTGAAGAAAACAAAGCAGGACTCTTGTTGACTTTGCAACTGAGAATCTCCAGAATGCCAGTGGAAAGGTAACGGGCATGTAGCAGGCAAAAAAAGAAAAAAACAAATTTATTAGCTTGTACTAGCTGTTACTGCTTGTTAGCAGCAGCTTCCCCTCTTCTTCGTCAAGTGCTGCCATGCATGATCTGCGCATGCACAGAGCAGAGGGGGGAAGTCATGTCACAGATTTGCCATGGGAGATCACTGCCTGCTCCTGGTAACCT